ATCTAAATTACTCATTTTAGACTACTTTTTAGATTACTTCATCAAACTTGTTTTAAACTTACCCTCAAACATGCCATATTGATATGAAAAAGCAAAGAGAAACTAAATATATTCCATTATTTGATAACAACTTCATAAATTGCATTAAACATCACACCGGTTACCGCTTTATGTCAGAACTGCAGTGAGTTTGAGAGATGATAAAAAGATACTAATTAGTGAAATCATAAAAATACAAAATGAACACTAAAAACAGAAATATTTGTTTACCTGTCAATGTGACCATTAACCAACTTCAGAGAACTGGGAACATATAAATATGATGTTAACTTATTTGAAATATGAACTTCCTCAGAGATATTTCATATAAATACTTTATGTCAAAGAGGTTTGGCTGACAAAAACATTTGGGAAATTTAAATGAGAAATAATGAGGGAAAATCAATGAATGATGAATAAATTACCACCATTGTGTGAATAATATGTAATCATGTAATCAATAAAAAGTAACTGTAATAGGATTATGAGCATTTAAAATGTAATATACTCTGCAATATACAACATTTTTGGAATCTGACTCCATATATTACACGTAATAAGCACTGATGAATGATACTGTACAGATATGATGAGAATACTGGAGCAGATGATGAAGCTGATGTTCTGATCACAGATGATCTTTAAACAGTTTGAGATCCACGGGTCTATACACATCTGATCAGAATTTGATGGTTAAGTGACTGGGCAAGGGTGAAATTTCCTTTAAAACTGTTTTTAAATGTTGAGTGGTTTCTAAAAGAAAGAATAGAGATTGTGCACGTTTGTCTGGGGCTGTGCGACACACACTAACAGAAAACATAACACAAACACATTCTCTACTTTATATATAGTTTTCTCAAGTGGAAACATCTCTTTAGCTCATTACTGGGTACACATTTGTTCCGGAAATACAGTATACACACACACACACACACACACACACGTTTGTTTCTGTGAATTGTGGGGACTTTCCGTAGACTTCTATTACTTTTATACTGACCAAACAATATTTTCTATCCCCTAACCCTAAACCTACCCCTTACAGAAAACCTGTTTGCATTCTTACACTTTTAGAGAAACATCATTTACTATTTTTAATAATTTTTTCCTTCATGGGGACTGCAGGCCGGTCCCCACAATGTCAAAAATTTCAGGTTTTACTATCCTTGTGGAGACATTTGGTCACACACACACACACACACACATGCACACACACTCGCTCACACACACGCACTCTCTCTCACACACACGCATACTCATACACCCTCACTCTCTCTCACACACACACACACACTCGCTCACACACACGCACTCTCTCTCACACACACGCATACTCATACACCCTCACTCTCTCTCACACACACACACACACTCGCTCACACACACGCACTCTCTCTCACACACACGCATACTCATACACACTCACTCTCTCACACACACACACACACACACATGCACACACACTCGCTCACACACACGCACTCTCTCTCACACACACGCATACTCATACACACTCACACTCTCACACACACTATCTCTCTCACACACACACACACACACACACACACACACACACAGCACTAATTTAAATTCTCGTTTTATTTTCATGGTAATGTTAACTGATGTAATAAGTGTATGGTGTAACATAAAAACAGTTACAAACATCTGTATGCATATTTACATTGTATATTTAAGAAAGCTACATCTGTATACAGAAAATACATCTATGACATGAGTTACAGAACTATAAATATTACATCATATATTTAGTATTTTCAAACCATGATAGAAATAGCTATACATAGATATAAAGCGTTAGAAGCGGAGCATTAGGGGCGAGGCTGCGGCGGATGTGAGGCACTTCTTCAGATGGAGGAGAATGAAGCCGACGGCACTAAAACTAAACCAGTTCACAAGCTCAGAAAACACTGCTATGCTGCAGAATCAAGAACACCAACACTATGAGAAGCATTCCAGAGTCATATTACCATGAATAGAGAAGAACACGAATAAAACAATAGCAGCACCTGATTAAACTGGTAGTCACATGAATGCAACGTTACATGCGAAAGCGTTGCATAATCCGCGAGGAACCGCAGAAATCCAGATTAGCCTCCAGCCGGTTCTCCACAGACGCCAGCGATTCACCAGAAGCAGCAACACAAAAGCGCGGCGAGGGTTAAACCATACTGGAGAACTAGATCGCGATTAACAGTCATCCCATTAAATCTTGCGATGCGGTTAGTGATCGTTTCTAGCTTCAAAAACGTTTGTTCAGCGCACTATTTACTGTCATCGTTCAGCGATACAAAACTAGAGAGAATCTCCATTAAAACCTCGGACGTCTTTTCCGTCGTCTCCACTACTTTTCAATGTGAAACAATATTAAGATGTGACCTATGTACACGATGCTGTGAAATCAAACTGTGGGAATAGTGTTGGTATGTACAGCCAGAGGTTCGAGAGCGTCTCGTGGAAATACTTGCATAGAAAGTAAACCGTCGTTCTTTCCCACAACACTGACAGATCATCTTTGCACAAAACGGCATCAACATAAACATGCATTTAAAGCGAACACGTATATTGTCCTCCGTGTTGAACGTCCCTCAGGGTTTAAAAGCGTCTGCGGTTAAAGTCTGGATCAGAAGGAGCTTCTGTAGACGAAGCGCTTGTGGGATTATAATAAGTGCTGCTGGACTGAAAGCATCAGCGCTTTAGGAAGCGTGCGTCCCGAACACGATGCAGGAGCAAAACAAGAGCACAAGAGTCTGTATCTTACTGCATTTCTCCGTCTGGTACTGATAGCGTGGAAAAGAAAAGGCCACGGTTAATGACTGCACGAAAAAGCGGAAATCCCTCTAGCTTACGTGTTACACCGTGTCCTAACTGCAATAAAAGGTATATTTTTTTAGTTTCTGTCCTAACTAGCCGCGCCGATAACACTTTCGATAAATACACTTAACAAAATTATAAACGCAACACTTTTGTTTTTGCCCCCATTTGTCATGAGCTGAACTCAAAGATCTAAGACTTTTTCTATGTACACAAAAGGCCTATTTCTCTCAAATGATAATAGATACATTTTTATTTTAGAAACTGTTTGCATGTCTGCGACGTCGCGGCTGGAACAACAACATGCAAACTATATGACAGTGATAATCTTAGGAACTGATTATGTGCTCTATTCAAAGTTTGAATATCAGTTTGTGTGACCCTATTATTAATTAACCGTACAGTATTAATTTTGGCAGCCATTTTTAATTTAGTCTTAGTCTTACTCAAATTTTAGTTATCATATTTAGTCAACCTTGTCGGCTATTGTGTTTTCCAGTCGGGCTACCAAAATGTTTCACCACTTTGCCCGACGGACTATCCTTAAATGCAGATAAAAAAACTCCTTAAAAATTCCTCAAGTGAGTTGTATCAAACTTAAAGCCATAAAAAGTTTTAAATACGTTAAATGGTATAAGAAATGTCTTAATTATAATTTCAAGAGGTCTTACAGCTGGGGACGGAAAGACAAGCGTCGTGATACGGCTGAATTAAACTTGAGAAGGCAATGATGTCATTGAATAAATATGAGCGCTGCACATTTTACGTCAAAATGCACGCAGATGTCTTTATTTGAATGTGTCTGAAGGGAACAGACTGTCCGCAGAAACGTGTCGTTGGCATTTTAATTTAATCTTACCTATAATTCCTGATAAAGCAGCGTTTATGAGCGCGGAGTTGCTTTGTGTTCAGCCGTTACCGGGGAAACCGCAGTATTTCAGCGCTCCTAAAGCGCCACCTCGTGTCAGAGAATGAATCTGCATTTCCAACAAGCCTTTCTTGGTGATTATGGTCAGATCAATGCAAATATCAACTCATGATTTTACGCAGCAAACACATAGAGTTGTAAATGAGAAAGAAGTTAAGTTGTGCCTTCTGAAAATCTAAACAATTAAGACTTCAATTTGTTAAATTGACCAATTTATATGCTTGATTTATCACTTTTCATAAAAATGGTCTAAAGGCTGAAATGCTGTTGTATAAGATTTTTGTTTTTGTGAAACCCCGTATCTGAACTGTAAATCATATGATTGTATGGCTCAGTACTGTATGTTACCACAGACATTGTCTAACCCCACTCATACTGTGTTCACTTGACTTCTGCAGCTCTTAAAATGGGTCATACATTGCCTTAAATTTATTTATTTTAAATTCTGCAGATACCCTGTAAAAAGTGAAATAAAATTCCTTCCTTCATATTTGTTGATATTCGTGTATTTAAAATATTTTTGATTGACATTTAAACTCCTATCTGATTCTCTATATTAAAAAAAAAAAAAAAAGGTATTTTTTTATTTGGGCTAGTTAAATTAATTTTCGGGCTACCAAAATCTGAAGAGTACCTGCCTTGAAATTCCAAGTAATTCCACTATAATTCCAAATGGCAATAGTCTATTTCTCTATTAAAACAACAGCGGTCGAGTAAGTGCATTTATACAGCGATCACAATCGCAAACAATACAGTCGAGGTCTCATGACAGAACACAGACCGGCTGAGAGACACTTTCATTTAGATGCTAAACTCCAGCTTGTTTGTTGCTGTTTTCAGATCATCAGCGGCGGCGCTTCCGCAATGAGGAGCGAGTGCGTGGTTGCCAGATTGATTAAAATAAGCAAATCACAGAGCAGGAAATGTATCAATGTAACAGTGAAGCTCTGATTCAGGGATTAGAACTCTTGATATCTGGCAAACGCACTCATGAGAGCTCGTGTAGTAGGAGGCGTGTAGAGCAGTCCACAGTAACATTTTGTCTCCTTTTTTTGATGAAGATAAAAAAACTTTTTGTTAAAGTTTTTATTTTTTGGAATACATTTTTGTCTCGTCTTATATCGTCAACGAAATTGCATGTTGATATAGTCTTAGTTATCGTTTATTGACCTTATCATCGTCTCGTCTTAGTCATGGGAAAAAAGCTAGTCAACGAAAATTTTTCGTCATAGTCTTCGTTAACGAAATTAACACTATGTCAAAGTGACGGACGGCCTTCGGATTTTTCCGTCGCTGCTAAAAAAACTGCAAACCAACAAGCGCACTCCCTTACAAAGATGGTATCAGACACTTGGTATGTGCATTTAATAATGTTATAAAGGTTTGATATTTATGAATTAGATCACAAACCTATCCATTTCGATGCAAGTGCAGTGTGCTTCCAGAGAGGCTCCGCCCACACACGCTTCTGATTGGCTGTGATGTTTGATTGACTCTGTCATGTCTGGTGTGGATAGCTACATTGCGTGTAGTTAGGACACGGTGTTAGAGCTCTGTACAAGACACGATAGTACTGTTATTTCTTCACAAGGTTACACGCGACGTGCGCCCCGGCGTGTGTTTCCAGACGCTCCTCCTGGTGTCAGGAGCTCCACGAGCAACGCTCCACCCGTCTCGGGTCAGTGAAAGCAGCGGTGTCCGGTCCGGCTCAGCCCGCGGCCTTGTGCTTTCCTCCGCAGCAGCGGCAGGCCTCTCCACAGCGGTGGCAGGCGCGCAGCGGCGGGTAGCAGCACATGCAGGGCGCCAGCAGAGACAGCCCCAGCAGCGCCAGCCAGCGCACACAGAACTGCTCCTCGCTGGCGTCGCAGGAGCACGGGTCCGAGAAGTCTCCCTCCGAGTCGGACATGCAGTGGTACAGCATGCTCTCGGCGCACAGCATGCAGCTCAGCCGGTAGATGCACTGCTTGATGGGGTCGGGCGCGTCCTGGCACTGGCCACGCTGGTTGTCCTCATGGTTGAACATCTCTCGGCAGTAGATGCAGCGCGAGCGCTCTCCGTCCTCTCGCCTCCGCCGGCCCCACGGCTGCTGCGTCTTGACCGAGTCCTTGCCGTCCAGCTTGGAGAAGGCGGCGGAGGCGTCGGGCTCCTCGTGCTCCGGGTCCTGCTTCCACAGCACTGGCTGCCGGTAGTCCTCGTAGCCTCGGATGAGGACATCCTTGCGCGGGTTGATGCGGACGATCTCCTCCTCGTCCATGTGAAAGCTCACGTGCCGCCTGCCGCTGGAGGAAACCTGAGAGAAACCAGACAGCCTGATAAACTAAAGAATTTATTCAGACACCTTCTCACATTATATCAGTTTATTCGCTATAGTTTGGAACAGGGGTGTCAAACTCAATTCCTGGAGGGCCACAGCCCTGCAGAGTTTAGCTCCAACACTAAAACACAGCTGCTTAGGGCTGGGACAATAAATCGATGCATCGAGAAATGATTCTGCATCGATTCTGAGATTTTCCGAAGGCATCACGATTCTCTCTTGAATCACTCCTGAGCTTAGGTTTTAACAGCAGATGGATTTAGAAATAGCTGTACTCTGCTTGCTTCCAGTTCCTTACACACACACCATTTAAACCTAAAATAATCATTCATAAAGTTCGAAAAGATTTGACGCAAATTACAAGGATGTTCACAGTGGGCTGTGTTTACATTAATCTCGCATCATAAAAAAAAAATGTACATTTTTTACATACATAAAAATCTCGTACATTTAACCACTTACATTACTCAGCCGAACGCACAAGCGCGCTTCTTCATGAGCATTTGAGTGTGCGGTTAAAAACTAGCCTACAGCGCCATCTGCTGTTAAAAACGAGCCTAGAGCGCCATCTGCTGTTAAAAACTAACCTAGAGCGTCATCTG